AGTCGCCTTCTTGAATTGCTGCAGTCCTTGAAGTGTATGTAAGCCCACAGTAGTGTTACTGAAGGAAGTGAAGGAACAGCGATAGTTTCAAATCAGGGTGCTAAGTTGACAGACTTGGGGGAGTCAGGAGGTGCGTTACTCACCGCAGCATTCCTAGACTTTGATCTGCTCTTATAGCTAGCGTTTATATGGAAAGTACAGCTGAATGGTAAATGATAACCCCAAGGATGTTGATAGTTGTGGATTTAGTGATGGTAACCTCATTGAATATCAACGAGCAGTGGTTAGATGGTCTCTCATTGGAATGGTCATTGCCTTGCATCGTGTGGCATGAATGCTCATCAACCCTAGCCTGAATATCATCCAGATCTACTCACATTTGAACATGCACTGCTTTGGCATCTGAGGAGCTATGAGTGGCGCCAAACATTACACAATCATTGGTGAACATCCTCACTTCTGACCTTATGATGGAAGGAAAGTTATTGATGAAGCAACTAAAGATGATTGCACCTAAGACACTACCCTGAGGAAGTCCTGAGGGATGACCTGGAGCTGAGATGACTGACCTCCAAAAACCACAACCATCTTCTTACATCCCAAGTATGACTCCAATCAACAGAAAGTTTGCTGCCTATTCCCACCGATTCCAACTTTGCTAGGGCTCCTTGATGCCACACTGTCAAATGCGGCCTTGATGTCACGGGCTGTCACTCTCATCTCTGGAATTCAGCTCTTTTGTCCATGTTTGTTCAAGGCTGTAACGAGATCAGGAACCGAGTGGCCTTGATGGGTCCTAAACTGGTGTCACTGAGCAGGTGGTATGCTTGATAGTATTGTTGAAAAAACCCTTCGTCACTTTACTAACGATTAAGAGTAGAAAGATGGGATGGTAATTGGCCATCTTTGGATGTCAAAGAAGGACCAGCTTCAAGAGAGCCAGGTGAAGACTGACAAATAATATCACATGTTCAGTCTATACTCATTAATAACCAATTGGGCAAAAGATCAGATAGCTTTCAGTAACAATATATATGTGTGTCTTAATAGAGCCCTCAACCGAGGGAAGAAAAGGAAACTTTCACAAGTTCAGGAGATAAGAAATCCAACCAAACACCATTCAAAGTTCCCTCCATATGACAATGATTTTTATTTAAACTGAATTCTGGTTGTAGTTACTTGCCTTGACAAATTGAACCCCATGTGTCACACCGATCACTTTGTTTGACCTACTGCCTTGATTTAGATTTCTAAATTATTTACTATTTTAGGAAACGTTACACAAGATGACTTTTCAGCAAATAATCAAATCACGAAATGTGAAAGCCAATTGTTCTAATGATGTGGTTTATACAATCAAATTGAATATTTTAGTAATGAATAGAATTAAAAAGCAATTAACAGTTTAATTTTAGGTGAGGTAGGTTTTAATATGGAACGGACAAAATATGCACTCCAGACTTTCCAATATTTTAACTAGAGAATGCATAAAAACCAGTTACATTACCCTGTAATTTTATAAATCTAACAGCTAATTTCTGTAATGTTACTTCTCTTGCATCACATATTAAAATATATATAGCACTCCTCAACTGAAAGCTGAACTACATTGAACTGCTACAATGCTCTTGGGTGGAAACAGAAAAGGAAAATTTGATAATAAAATTAATCCAAGCCCCTCACCGTTGCAGTAGCAGCTCCAGTACAATGCAGACTGTGGTTTACATTTAGCACTGGGATTACAAAGGTACTCTGAAGCTCCTGTTTTCTATTCAGCTGGGAAATGGCTAACCAAAGAAGGGAGGGAGGAAAAAATAAATTTTAGATGAAGTTCTAGTTTCCATGACTGTTCTATCAATTGATGACTTTACAGTATCATATTCACTGGTAACTGAAGTTTCAGTAGGAAAATCAACCCTCCAGGCCTTAAAGATCAGTACTGATTTAAGCAAAAGGATTTAGTATTGGCTTTGTCAAATCGAAGATCTGTTTGTAGTCAAATGTCACGTCTCCCCTAACCTTCAACTGTTGGCGTTGAAATGGCATTGAAATAAAATTAAGGTGATAACTCAGGAGAACATTAAACAGACACAAAAGCACTAAAAATATACTTAATGTCAATTGTGTACAACACTGTGGAATTGCTGCTGTATTTACACACATTAGTAGATAAGAATTTACTTTGAAGTTAAAATCACTTTACACTTTTATCACTTCATGGACATGTTTTGCACCAATGCGTTGTGCTATTTGGCTTGAGAAATCATACAAATAGTTGTTTGGTAATACAAAACTTTAGTATTCAACCAAAGAGCATAAGTCACAGGAGCAGAATTTGGCCGTTCTGCCCAACCATTTGATCATGGTTGACAGGTTTATCAATCCCATTTCCCTCCCTTCTCTCTAAAATCTTTGACTGTATTTAAGGCTGAGGAAGATTCCTGATTAGTATGGGATCAATGACTTACCTTCAACAGCTTTCTGTGGCAATACAGTCCACAGATTCACCACCCTCTGATGAAGAAATTCCTCCTAATCTTAGTACTAACAGTTCGTCTCTTCACTCTGGGGCTGTGCCCTAGAGTCCTGGTCTCTCCTAATCGTGGAAGCATCTTTGCCACATCCACTCTATCCAGACCTCAGTATTCTGTACGTTTCAATTAGATCCCATCTCTTCATTCTAAACTCTATTGAGTACAGACTCAGAGTCCTCAACTGTTCCTCATATGATGGGATATGCCCTTCATCCCAGAAACTTTCTTGTTAACATCCTCTGGACCCCCTCCAATGCCAGCACATCCTTCCATAGATCAGTGGCCAAAACTGCTCACAATGTTCCAAAAGCAGTCTGACCAGAGTCTTTTACAACCTCAGCAGCACATCTCTGCTCTTGCATTCTATTCCTCTTGATATGAATGTTATTTATTTACTTATTTATTGTCACGTGTATTTTGTTCCAAAATGCAGCGAAGTGTTGTAGAGTATTGCCACTCTCCAACACCATCTTAAAACACAAAAATAAACCAAAATATAGAGCACAAAGGCAGAAAAATAGTATTCAACTTTGCAGTCTTTGTTGAGTGATCCACCATGGGCCACAGGCCTGGTGCCATGAGCCAAGAGACCCCTTCACTGTGCCGGACCACTGGAACAAAAGTTGCCACTCTTCAGTGCCATCTTGCCACCAACACCCCGACAACTGTCAGCCTTCACTGGACCTCACCAATTCCGCTGCCACCGATACTGCCAGGTACCATACTGGCCCAAACTGACTCTGCCGCCATGAGTATGCTATGGGCCCCACCTTACTGATGCAGCAGGGTCTTGCACTGGGCCTAAACTGGCCTCCATTGCCATCTTGAATTAGTGCTGGACACAGATGCTGCCAGGAACCCACACTCACTTGTGCTGTAGCTGGCATGAGCCAGCACTAGGACCACTGTCAATACGGAAGTGCTGGGCTCACCCGCCCTTGGCAATGCCAACGCCACAACTGAGCTCTTCAACAAGAGGTAAGTAAAAGAAAAAAATAAGAAAAAAAGGGGGGGGAAAAAGAAACAAAAAAAAGGAAAGTAGATGGAGCAGACAAACTCTGGGCTCGGGATCCTACTCTCCACCTCCATCTTGCCAGAGAATGGGAAACTTCACGATGAGGCAAGCTTAAGTAATAATCACAGAATCATAGAACTACTACAGGAGGCCATTCGTTCCATCATGGCCGTACATTTTCCTCAAGCAAGCATCACCACTTAGTTCCAATCCCCTGCTCATTCCCCATACCTTTGCTCACTATTGCTATCCAAAGAAAATCATCCAATGCCCTCTCAAATGCCCCAACTGAATCCTCTCCAGCACATTTTCAGGCCATGCACTCCATACGTCAACAAGTTGCTGCGTGAAGAAGTCTGAATAACATTCTAATGTGTACAAATAAGATTCTCTCTTGTCCTGCCATTCAGCACTTGGTTGCAAAATCGGATGATGGTTAACATATTGCTGACAAATGCTAACATTGTATTTGCCTTCCTAACTCACAATTGAACCTGCATGTAAACATTTAGAGAATTCCGTACTAGGACTCAAGTCCCATTGTGCTTCAGACTTCCACAGCTTTCTCCATTTTGACAATAAGTCTACACCTCAGCTCTTGCTACCAAAGTAGATAACCTCAGTTTCCCATTTTGTATTCCATCTGCCACTTCTTTGCCCACTTAGTCCTTCAGCAACCTCCCTGCTTCCTCATCACTACCCATCCCACCACCTATCTTTGTTTCATCTGCAAACTTAGTAACAATGCTCTCAGAGATAGTAAGAACTGCCGATGCTGGAGTCAGAGATAACACAGTGTGGAGCTGGAGGAACACAGCAGGCCAGGTAGCATCAGAGGAGCAGGAAAGTTGACGTTTCGGGTCAGGACCCTTCTTCAGAACGTCCAGATCATTAATGGATAATGTATATACTTGTAGTCTCAACACTGATCCCTAGAGAACTCCTCTCGTCACTGGCCGCCATACTGAAAAGATCCTTTCATTATCCTTACTCTCTGCCTTCTGCCAGTTAGCCAATCTTCTATTTATGCCAGTACCTTGCCCCTAACACCATGTGGTCTTATCTTATTTAGCAGCCTCCTGTGCAGCACCTTGACAAAAGGCATTCTGGGAATCCAAATACGTCATGTCCACTGAGTCTCCTTTGTCTCATTACTTCCTCAACAAATTCTAAAATTTGTCAAGCATGAACTCTCCTTGATAAAGCTGTGCTGACTCTACCCTATTTTGCACTTGCTAGTACTCAGCAATCTCATCCTTAATAATGGACTCTAAAATCTTAGCAACAGAGGTCAGGCTAATCAGTCTATAATTTCCTGGCGTCTGCTTCCCTTCCTTATTAAATAGGGATGTCATATTAGCCATTTTCCAGTCCTCTGTGACCCTCCCTGACTCCAATGATTCCTGAAAGATCAGCACTAACATCTCTTCTAATCTCCTCAGTTATCTCCTTCAGAACGCTGGGGTGTTGTCCATCAGGTCTGAGCAATTTATCCACCTTCAGATCTTTCAACTTCTCCAGCACCACCTCCTTAGTGATGGCCACTGCACTTACCTCCGCCCCTTGACTCTCGAAGTTCTAGTATGTTGCTGGTGTCTTCCACTGTAAAAACTGATGCAAAGTACCAATTCAATTCCTCCGCCATTTCTGTTCCCCATTATTACTTCTCCAGTCTCATTTACCAGCAGTCCAATGTCCACCCTTGTTTCTCTCTCATCTTTTATGTATCTTAAAAAAAATTCCTGCAATCATCTTGGGCCGCACAGTAGCACAATGGTTAGCACTACTGCCTCTCAGTGATGGGAGCGGAGAGTGCTGGGTGGGATGCTCTTCAAAAGGGTCAGTGCAGACATGATGGGCCAAATGGTCTCTTTCTGCACTGTAGAGATTCTATGATTCTTTTATATTACTAGCTAGTTTAGCCTCGTATTTCATCTTCTCCCCACCCCTTTGTTGCTTTTTTTTTTAAAAAGTTGTTCTCTGGTTTTCTTCTTAAACCTCTGGCTTCCCACTAATCTTCATTACATTGCATTCTTTTTCTTTTACGTTGTTTCTGACTGCCCTGGGCGGCCATGGTTGCCTTGTCCTTCCCTTAGTATCCTTCTTCATCCTTGGGATCGATTTCTGCTGTGCCTCTCAAATTACCTCCAGAAACCTTGGCCATATCTGCTCCACCCTGCTAGGTTCCCCTTCCCAACAACTATGGCCAGCTCATCGCTCATGTCTTTCTGGTTATCTTCACTGAATTGTGATATTGTTACATCTGATACCAGCTTCTCCCTCTTGGACTGCAGGGTGAATACCATCTTTTGGTCACAGCCCCCTTGAGGGTTCCTTCACCTTCAGCTCCCTAATCAAGTCTGCCCCATTATACATCACCAAATCCAGAATTGCCTGTTCCCCAGTGGGCTCTACCATGAGCTAGTCCAATAAAAATTCTAGTGGGCATTTCACAAATTCCTTTACTGGAGATCCACTACCAACCTGATTTACCCAGTTCACCTGCAGATCGAAGTCCCCCACAATTATTGTAATAGTGCCTCTCTTACGTGCCTTTTTTATCTCCAGATTTATTTTCTTCCCCACATCTG